ATGAGTCGGATGACATCCATCTATGAATTTTTTGTGGCTATTAGCTCATAGCTGAAAATATAAAATCATATCTTACGCAAACAAAATAAACATTATAACGGTCCAAAAGATTTTACCTGTTTCTAAAAATGGCCTTCTGAAAGTGACCTTTAAAAAAGATTGCGTATAACTGCTCTAGACATAAAAGTATAATCTAATCGACGCGAAGAAAACGTTCTGCATTAAATATAACCATTCTGAGGGCCATGGCACACAGAAAAATTTATAAGCAGTAAGACGTAAAGAAAATGAACGTGTTGAATTTGCTATTGTTTATGTTATGGCCTTACAGTCTCTACTGTGATTGATTAATTAGCTTATATATTGCTTACGTTTTACTGTTAAGTTTTGTATGTGTTATAACCCGTACATTGTGTGGCTACTGCCTGTTTTCATTAATATAGATGATCTTTAATCTCAACATACGTTTCATTTTTTTTAATTTTTAGAACTAGACAAAAATGAAAAGTAAATTAAATCAAGATAAAAAATAATCTACATTGGTAGGTATAGTATACATTATGATGATTGTTGTTTAACAAGTTTATTATCTTTACGTAATACAACTTTTGTAATTGTTTTTGTAATTTACAACAATGATCCCTTAGATCTTCATCTGTTCGTCCAACCATGGATTGTCCTGCGTATGCCCAGGATATTTCTTCTTATATTTCAAACCAGTAACGATGGTGGAGCTTTTCGGGAAAGCCGTTTGGCCGTTGAACATCGTGTCGGTATCTGGAGAGAGAAAAAAAAAGGAAATTTTATCACTGTACAAACACTGGCCCGTGGGCCGTTGGAAAAACAGCGTGACAGTTCTATAAATTCCGTGGGACATCTCACCCGGATGGAATCGATGATAATCCTGTTGGATGTGCAAATTCTTGGGCAAATCTATTCTACGCAGCGCTTCGTATGGCGTCGTGCTGTCTACCGGTGTCGAATAAAATTGTTTCAGATCCTCTATGTATTTAAGATTCACACTTATTTATTATTGTCAATTGATCGATGCCGTACGTTAGGTTGGTGTAAAATATTCGTCATTTCTTATCATCGAGCTTTATGTCAAAAAATAAAAGAAAATCAAAGTTTAAAAGGGAGGGCTCGAAAGGATCTTTATATATTATTTTTTATTATTGAAATAAATATTTTATTATTATTATTATTATTATTATTTAAATAAATAAGAGGGTATTAAAAGTTTGCCAATTTCAATATTGCTTGGGAATGTTTTTTTTCAGTTGATAAGTATGATGAATCTTTGACACTTGATAGATCGAGAAACTTTTTTGTTTGCTAACCGATACTCTCGATGGTGTAAAGCAATGAGTTGGGAATAGAATGCTTAAACTCCCTCTCGCAGGCGATGAACAACTTAAAGCGAAGAACGGGATCCTCGAGTTTTGTATCATCGTTCACGGGGACGGTTTGACACTCGCAGATTCTGTCAATTCTCTCGGCTGCGTTTTCCGGGGGTTCGTAAGACTTTTGCGATCTCAGAAATCTGAAAGCAGAATATACACAATCACGTCTCACATCGATCGTAGATAATAATTCGGCGTCACGAGATTTCTCGGTGTGAAACATCTTGAATAATTTATGTCTGTTTCTGTCTTATTTTTTATTTTTTTAGAACTAGCAAAAGAAGGTAAAGAGTAAATTGAAAACGAGAAAGTTAATCTACATTATGGACATTAAAACAAAATAAATTGAATCCTGATGGTTCTTCGCGATGATATCCAATATCTATCCAAAAGAAAATTTCGAAATGAGGAGTAAGAAAAAGAGAAAACGATCTTTTATTATTTATATAAATGCCACGAATCATCTCCTCAATTCAATTCTTGGCGAAAATAAAAATCAGAGTGCAAGTTAAATGCAAGAGAAGGGTAACAGAAGCGTAATCGAAGCTTCTAGGCGAAAATTGAGACATCAAAATGTTTTACGTTTCTTTAACATTTCTTTGACATAAAACGAGATGAAAATTTCACAAGTAAGCAAATTCAATAAGAGTCGACCAAATTATAAATAAAACTATAAATATTCTAGTAAATTCGCTCACTTGTAATTTTCACCTCGTTTTAAGGCATACGTATTCGACTGTTAAGAGATTAATTATGATCTTGAAATGGGGTGAAAATGAGCAAATTTACTAGGATTCGATCAATAGAATTATAAGCGTTTTAATAAATTCGTTCACTTTTATAATTTTCACCACGTTTTGAGAAGCACAATTGACCTGAAATCCAGACAATTGAGTGAGAAAGAAAGAGAGAGAGAGAGAGAGAGAGAGAGAGAGAGAGAGAGAGAGAGAGAGAGAGAGAGTAAAAACGATAGATCTCTCCAAAATTGGCCAATGATAACTGCCAGGACCTAAACGTTTAGGACTCGCGCACTTTTCGCATCCGGAAAAGGAATTTTGCTCTTTTTCTCTCCCGCGCGATGAAATTTGTCGTGACGCGTGAGAGGAAAGGACAAAGGGTCCTGAAAGAGGGGGAGCGGTGAAAGGAAAGGAAGAGATCGATGCCCGCTGACCGTACGGTGCTGCCATCCCGCGCGTTCTCCTTCTCTCATTGGACGGCGCTGAACATCGGCGTATTCGGGACATTCGGGTGCCCCGCACCGAAATTCGCGAAACGACGTAGCTGCGGTTCGCTTTCGTAAACAATAATCAATAATCAATCCTGGTATGTCGCTGGTACCGTGCGACGCCGATCGCGACCACCTTTTCCTCCTCGATTCAACGTCGTTTTTCCAGAAGAATCGATCTTGTCGATGGCGATCGTCACGGATGACCGGAAGTCACTCCGTCGATTAATCTGTCTGTTAATCGCGAGAAGGGGAGAAATTTAAATGAGAATCTTTTCCGCGATATTATATATACACCGCGTTCTTAGAGTCGACAAACCCGATCGTATCGGAATCGTTTCTCGCAGGTTTCTTCTATTATTCGATTTTTTGCATGAAAAGAAATGTAATATTTTTCTGTTGAACCCGACCCTTTTGTCTACCATTATTACGTCACAGCGTCATCCGCCCATCTGGCACTTTTGAAAAACTTGCGGAAATCGCACGGTCAATTTTCCGCTCGGTAACTACCCCGTTTCTATCAATGTAGTTTAATTTTAACCTTGATTTAACTAATTCTTTATCCTTTTCTAGTTCTGAGAATTAGAAAAAGATATAAAAATAAATTGAACCGAGATTATAGTTAATCTATACTGATAGAAATGGATATAAATCACGCACAGCGATATAGATAAAAGTATAGATAGATAAATAAAGGCGTTTATTGTTGTACAGCAAGCTCTGTAAAAATATAGAAATAAGAGAAAAATATAAAAACAGAAATGTGCAATTGACGAAAGTAATATAATAAAAATAAATTAAACTGATATCAAAAGAGAAAAAAAGATTGACGAAAGACACGAATATGAAGAAACACTGATAAAAACGTAAATAGCGAACAAGTCGATTCAATCGACAGTCGAATATTCTTCTTCGGTCTTTCATTTTCTTTCCTTTTTTTATTTTTATTTATTTTTAGTATGTTGCGACTTTAAATCGGCTTATAGAGAGGTCGGACTTATGTCCATTTCTATCAATTTAGATTAACTTTAATTACAGCGTAACTTACTTTATATCTTTCTCTAGTTCTAAGAATTATGTCCTTTTCTATCAATACAGTTTAATCTCAGTTCAACTGACCATATCTTTCTTTAATTGTACAAATTAGAAAACAATAAAGAGCAAGTTAATTCGAGATTAAATTTACATTGGTAAAAATGGACATTAATAATAGGTCTTTTCCACAAATATAAATTAACATTAATCTCAGTTCAACTCATTTTTCTTTTGTTCCAATTCTAAAAATTAGAGAAAGATAAAGAGCAAGTTGATCCAAGATTAAAGTGAATCTACATCGGTAGAAATGGACATTAAAAGTCAAAGCGCGGCGTCACGGGGGTGGAAGAGCGGGGAGAAAGAGAGGGAGAGACGGGAGAGAGAAGCGAGGACGCACGGCCCTGAGGACCTGTCAGATTCGTCGAGCGATTGGCTAAGGCGCGGAGGAGTGGTGGTACGAACGGTTAATATGGCCACGGTGCGGCCACCGTTAGTAAAGCAGCGCCGCTACGCAACGCAAATTTTACCGTACGGCTGCGCGACGTGAGGCGCTACGACGTGTCGAACGCGACCGCGCTTACCCGCGGGCGGCGAGCGATTCCCCGGCGGAGTCGATCCGCGCCTTCACCATCATCATTGGCTTCTTCTGGTTCTTATGCCGGGTGATTCCGCGACGCGCGGTCACCTGTGGGAAAAGAAAAAAAGCGGAAAGAAATGACGATCTCAGTATTCTCGGTTAGTGACGCGTGTGCCATCGCCCACGAACGTATGATTCGCGCGCGCATCGACGACGCGAGTGCGTAACGTACGATGGATGGCTGGATGATGTTTGTGTGTGTGTAGACGCGCGTGGCGCGTCTAGAATTATTAGAAATTCACTGACCGTACTGGCGACGAGGATAGCCGATGTACTTTTAAACGCGCTGGTAAACGAGCCATGCCTGATGAGCGCCGCCATCTTTTCCACGCTCGTTGTCGTCGTCGTCGTCGCCGTCGCGGTGTCAATAGCAGCAGCAGCGGCAGCAGCAGCACCGGTGGTGGTGGTGGAGGTGGTAGCAGCAGCAGCACCAGCAGCAGCAGCGACGGTAGCCGTCGACGGCAACTAGAACTGCGGCAGTGAGCGTTAGGGGGCGCACCCGGCGGTTGCGCTTGTTGTTTCCCATCGCCTCCCGCCGCCATTTTACGGTCGCCATTGAGAAGTGAAAACCCTCCTAAATGTACGAATCCGAGTGAATAAAGCGCGGTGTTTAGCCCGCTCTCGTACCGCGGAATCCTCGTGCAAGCGGGATAAGATCGGCGACGGAGTTGCCGTTCGAGTGTTAGACTAAATGAGTGTACGGCGTACGATGGAGAAGCCATGACGCATCCGTCGCATCAAACCAACGGCGCCAGCCTGGAGGACTGCCACACGAATTTCTTCGCACTGGTGAGTGGATCGTCCGCGTATTCGTGCGCGAGTGCGCGGACGCGTGTTCTTTGCCCACAATTTCGATTCCCTCATCTCTGTCCCCGGGAATACCCAATGATACTGGGAGTCTGCTCCGAATTTCCGCGCGACTCGGTTCGGCGAACGTGAGACGATCTCGCCTGGAGAACGGGAGCGAGAGGCCCCCCCAAGGTGGTTTACGCTGCTGCTGTCGCCGTCGCCGTCGCCGTCGCCGGCGGCATCCCACGGCCCCTTAACGTCACGTCGCGACGACGCGAATACGAGCGAGTGAGCGAGCGAGGAACCGAATGAACGAGTGAGCGAATGAGTAATGAGAGCAAGAGAGAGAAAGAGAGAGAGAGAGCGCGACGACCACCGTCGCGCCCCGAACATTAACCTATATTCGTGGCGACGTCGCCGAGTGTCTTGCACTCGTTCATCGTCGCCGACATCAATGTCAACCGTCGACATCGTCATCGTCGTTGCTGTCGCTCATGTTGCTGTTGTGTATCGCCAGAGTCTTCCCCCTCCCCCCTGCCCGTCCCCGCCGCCTGTGTCGCCGGCGGCCCCGTGCGTGCGTGCGTACGTGCGTACGTACGTACGTACGTACGTATGTGTGTACGTTAGTGAGATTTGAAGTTTTGTTGTGTCGAGCCAATGTCACGCCTGATTCACGTCAGACCCCGAAGTCTTACGGTACGTTGGACGAGACGGGGAAAAAAGAGAGCGTGCGTGCGAGCGAGCA